CGAAATTGACCTTGCAATGTGGCGCGACTCCCCCCCCCCCCCAATTTCTAGCTTCAATGGGATGTTTCAACACATGCATTGTTTGTCTTGTAGTTCCTTTTCCGAAGTATTTTTCCTGCAGTAATTTTGTTTTCGTTTCTCTGAGTAAACACCTTTGAACTTGCTAGCAGCGAGGAGTGCGGGAGTGAGGAGGTTCTGCATCGAGAAGGCTGAGTTCCCAAGCAGTCCCATTGATTGGGGTGGGACTTCTTGCAGGAGCTCATCGAGTACTCGGGATCAAACCCTCGATTAAGTACAAATATTTGAGGTTCTGCATAACTCAAATTTACAGGCATTTAGTAGAAATCCTGTCCGTTTCCTACAAATGTAGCTGTACACATTCCAGTGGCACTTAATGGGGTCTTAGAAAATCAGTTTAAACCTTTAAATGCAGTTTTTGAAACATTATTTGGGGTATCACAAGCATCGAATGACTTACCCCTTGCAGATTAGAAGATGATTATCCTCTGCAGTGCTTGTTGCGGTAGCTTGTAATAGGAAGAGTGTTCTCAAAGCTATCTCTTAAGCTTGCTACTCAAACCTATTCACTCTAGGCTATGTATTGTATTTGACTTCCTGGTACTTTATATTGAAGACACATTTGTCTTCTTAATCAGACAGTTTATATCTGCCAGGAATGCGTTTAATATAATGTCAAACAATTTAGATGCAAAGTGAAAGTACAGCTTGGTGTCATTTTCTGCCAACCATTATTACTGTGAGAGGGAAGCACAGCAAGCCAAGCTTGAATGGAGCCTTTAAGCAATAACAGGCTGGTTCGTCTGTTTATTTTGGCCTAATGTTCTTCCTTTGGTTACAAAGCTGTTGTAAGCGTGCGTTAAATAACAGACATTTAAAAAACGATGCTAGATCAGGAATATCAGCTTAGAGGATCAGATCAGGGCATCCAAAGGCCTCAGTACGGTTGACAGCATCATTGTTGTGCTTTATGGGCAAGGGTAAGCGAGACTTCATGTTCCAGCAGTAGAGGTGTCATATCAGAGTTGAGACAGGAAAGCCACAGAGTTCTCAGGCACTGGATTTACTGTAATAATAGCTACTGTCTGTCTGTAGAGCTGGTGGGGAAATGCAAATTGTTCTTTCTGAAAATGTCAAAATGTCAAAAAACTTCTGACCCCTCTGTTTGTTGATTGAGAAGTTTTGAAGTATTTTTCAAATCAGACACTGTTATCTACTCAAAAAAATTGTAGCTGTTTCTAGATAGGTAGTTTGTCCCTGTATATTATTTAAGTGGTGAAATACCATAAAAGCTTACTATCATCATTAACCTCTAGGTCTGGTTGTTTACGGGGGGGG